GTGAGTGTTAAGCGATGTTTTCCGTTGTGTGTCTGAGGTGATCTATGAAGTCTTTAAAACTTGTTAAATCCTGCGACTCCACGTCCAGAAAGTTTCACAACATAAAGAAAATTATTTTATATTTTCTAAATGCCCGTCAATTTTGTTTAATTTGCTTATTAAGTAAAGTCGGCCAGAACAAGATGTAGAACCACCACATGTACAAGTTAACGTTGTAGTGAATGATAACAATGAACACTGTGTAGAAAAAAATACTGGAAATGTCAGCAGCGGTGTCTTCGTGAATCATAAATGTCAGCAGCGGTGTTTTTACGAATTGTATTATAAATGTCAGCAGCGGTGTCTTCGTGAATCATAAATGTCAGCAGCGGTGTCTTCGTGAATCATAAATGTCAGCAGCGGTGTTTTTACGAATTGTATTATAAATGTCAGCAGCGGTGTCTTCACGAATTATAAATGTCAGCAGCGGTGTCTTCACGAATTATAAATGTCAGCAGCGGTGTCTTCGTGAACCATAAATGTCAGCAGCGGTGTTTTTACGAATTGTATTATAAATGTCAGCAGCGGTGTCTTCACGAATTATAAATGTCAGCAGCGGTGTCTTCACGAATTATAAATGTCAGCAGCGGTGTCTTCACGAATTATAAATGTCAGCAGCGGTGTCTTCACGAATTATAAATGTCAGCAGCGGTGTCTTCACGAATTATAAATGTCAGCAGCGGTGTCTTCGTGAACCATAAATGTCAGCAGCGGTGTTTTTACGAATTGTATTATAAATGTCAGCAGCGGTGTCTTCACGAATTATAAATGTCAGCAGCGGTGTCTTCACGAATTATAAATGTCAGCAGCGGTGTCTTCACGAATTATAAATGTCAGCAGCGGTGTCTTCGTGAATCATAAATGTCAGCAGCGGTGTTTTTACGAATTGTATTATAAATGTCAGCAGCGGTGTCTTCGTGAATTATAAATGTCAGCAACGGTGTCTTCACGGATTATAAATGTCAGCAGCGGTGTTTTAACGAATTATAAATGTCAGCAGCGGTGTCTTCGTGAATCATAAATATCAGCAGCGGTGTTTTTACGAATTGTATTATAAATGTCAGCAGCGGTGTCTTCGTGAATTATAAATGTCAGCAGCGGTGTCTTCGTGAATTATAAATGTCAGCAGCGGTGTCTTTACGGATTATAAATGTCAGCAGCGGTGTTTTAACGAATTATAAATGTCAGCAGCGGTGTCTTCATGAATTTTAAATGTCAGCAGCGGTGTTTTGACGAATTATAAAAGTCAGCAGCGATGTTTTAACGAATTATATATGTCAGCGGTGTTTTCATGAATTATAAAAGTCAGCAGCGGTATTTTAACCAATTATAAATGTCAGCAGCGGTGTTTTAACGAATTATAAATGTCAGCAGCAGTGTCTTCATGAATTATGTCAGCAGCGGTGTTTTAACCAATTATAAATGTCAGCAGCGGTGTTTTAACCAATTATAAATGTCAGCAGCGGTGTTTTAACGAATTATAAATGTCAGCAGCAGTGTTTTCAAGAACTATATTATAAATGTCAGCAGCGGAGTCTTGAAGCATAATAAACGCCAGCAGCGGAGTCTTGACGAATGATAAACGTCAGCAGCGGTGTGCTGATTCATGGCAACATGGAGGACAAGTGGACAATGTTAGCGGAACACAACATGTTGGTAGAGACAATCTTACTGACCAGTGATCAGCTGAAGACAGCAACAGCAGCAGCAGCAGCAGCAGGTGAGTGCAGCTGCTGTTGATGCTGCTCATCCTGAGCTGTGTTCAACCATCCTCCATCACTCACCTTATCACCGCACTCCTGCGTTATGTCATGGGTACTGTTTTCATGACCGCTGTTATGTCATGGGTACTGTTTTCATGACCGCTGTTATGTCATGGGTACTGTTTTCATGACCGCTGTTATGTCATGGGTACTGTTTTCATGACCGCTGTTATGTCATGGGTACTGTTTTCATGACCGCTGTTATGTCATGGGTACTGTTTTCATGACCGCTGTTATGTCATGGGTACTGTTTTCATGACCGCTGTTATGTCATGGGTACTGTTTTCATGACCGCTGTTATGTCATGGGTACTGTTTTCATGGCAGCTGTTGTGTCACGATCGCTGATTTTATGACAGCTGTTGTTGTGTCATGATCGCTGTTTTCATGACCACTGTTGTTGTTTTCATGACCGCTGTTGTTGTGTCATGGTCACTGTTTTCATGACCACTGTTTATATAGCGGGCGTTGCTGCGTCATGATCGCAGTTCTCATGGCCACTGCTGGTATATCATGGTCACTGTTTTCTTGACAGGTGCTGCTGCTTCATGATCGCTGTTATGACGCGCCATGACCGTAACAGTTGCATCATGACCAGTGCTGTTGCGTCTGACCGCTGCTGTTGTGTCATAACCGCTGCTGTCGTGTCATCGCCACTGTTTTTGTGTCATCACCGCTGCTGTTATGTCATCACCGCTGCTGTTGTGTCATCACCGCTGCTGCTGAGTCATGACCGCTGCTGTTCTGTCATGACCGCTGCTGTTCTGTCATGACCGCTGCTGTTGTGTCATGACCGCTGCTGTTGCGTCATGACTGTTGCTGTTGCGTCATGACCGCTGATGCTGTGTCTTGACCGCTGCTGCTGAGTCATGACCGTTACTGTTCTGTCATGACCGCTGATGTTGTTTCATGATCGTTGCTGTTGTATCATGATCGCTGATGCTGTGTCATGACCGCTGCTGCTGAGTCATGACCGTTACTGTTGTATCATGACCGCTGATGTTGTGTCATGACCGCTGATGCTGTGTCATGACTGCTGATGCTGTGTCATGACCGCTGATGCTGTGTCATGACTGCTGATGCTGTCATGACCACTGATGCTGTGTCATGACCGCTGATGCTGTAATGCTGTATCATGACTGCTGATGCTGTTATGACCACTGATGCTGTGTCATGACACCTGCTGTTGTCTCATGACTGCTGATGCTGTGCCATGACCGCTGATGCTGTGTCATGACCACTGATGCTGTGTCGTGACACCTGCTGTTGTCTCATGACTGCTGATGCTATGTCATGACTGCTGATGCTGTGTCATGATCATTGATGCTGTGTCATGACTGTTGCTGTTGTGTCATGACTGCTGATGCTGTGTCATGACCGCTGCTGTTGTGTCATGACCGCTGCTGTTGTGTCATGGCCGCTGCTGTTGTTTCATGATCGTTGCTGTTGTATCATGACCGCTGATGTTGTGTCATGACCGCTGATGCTGTCATGACTGCTAATGCTGTGTCATGACCACTGATGCTGTGTCATGACCGCTGATGCTGTGTCATGACACTTGCTGTTGTCTCATGACTGCTGATGCTGTGCCATGACTGCTGATGCTGTGTCATGACCACTGATGCTGTGTCATGACACCTGCTGTTGTCTCATGACTGCTGATGCTGTGTCATGACTGCTGATGCTGTGTCACGACCACTGATGCTTGTCATGACCGCTGATTCTGTGTCATGACTGCTGATGCTGTGTCATAACCACTGATGCTGTGTCATGACACCTGCTGTTGTCTCATGACTGCTGATGCTGTGTCATGACTGCTGATGATGCTGTGTCATGACCTCTGATGCTGTGTCATGACTGCTGATGTTGTGTCATGACTGCTGATGCTGTGCGATGACCGCTGATGTTGTGTCATGACCACTGATGCTGTGTCATGACACCTGCTGTTGTCTCATGACTGCTGATGCTGTGTTATGATCACTGATATTGTGTCATGACCACTGATGCTGAATCATGATCGCTGATGCTGTATCATGACCGCTGCTGTTGCGTCATGACCGCTGCTGTTGTATCATGACCGCTGACGCTGTGTCATGACCGCTGCTGTTGTGTCATGACCGCAGATGCTGTGTCATGACTGCTGCTGTTGTGTCATGACCGCTGATGCTGTGTCATGACTGCTGCTGTTTTGTTATGACCGCTGATGCTATATCATGACCGCTGATGCTTTTTGTCATGGCTGCTGATGCTGTGTAATGACCGCTGATTGTGTATCATGACCGCTATTGTTGTGCCATGACCGCTGCTGTTGTGTCATGGCCGCTGATGCTGTGTCATGACCGTTATGTGTCATGACCGCTATTGTTGTGTCATGACCGCTGCTGTTGTGTCATGGCCACTATTGTTGAGTCATAACCGCTGCTGTTGTGTCATGACCTCTGATGCTGTGTCATGACCGCTGATGCTGTGTCCTGACCGATGATGCTGTGTCAGGACCGCTGCTGTTGTGTCATGACCGCTGATGCTGTGTAATGACTGCTGATACTGTGTCATGACCGCTGCTGTTGTGCCATGACCTTTGATGCTGTGTCATGACCGCTGCTGTTGTGTCATGACCTTTGATGCTGTGTCATGACCGCTGCTGTTGTGCCATGACCTTTGATGCTGTGTCATGACCGCTGCTGTTGTGTCATGACCTTTGATGCTGTGTCATGACCGCTGCTGTTGTGTCATGACCGCTGCTGCTGTGTCATGATCACTGCTCTGTTCTAGTGTAAAAATGTATGTACTCACACATGTACCTGTATCAACATGTTGTACACTCACACATGTACCTGTACTGTCTCTACAACCATGTAACTATGTATACCACTTGCTCAAAAACAATCAGTGTGAATAAAAACAACATCTAAGATTCCATGAGTTATACAATGAGCGTTTTGTAAGAGTGGTGTGGAAAACCAATAAACCAAACAAATACACTAAACCATGCAAACACATGAAGGAGGCATAACACACACAACATTACTCATACACAAACGTATATAGTTAATCATATATATAAAAATATAAGAGTTAATAGAAACCCATTCACTGAAAAGTATTATAAATAAAATAATGAATTTTTTATTTATTATTTAATGGATAAGTACAAGAAGACATTGTGGAACTATCTTGAGTGGCGTATGTGGAAGTCACA